AAAAAAAAAAAAAAAAAAAAAAACAAAACAAAAAAAGGAAAGTTATGGCCTCATTTTTCAAGCACAAATGTATTACTGAGTTATTCTTCTCACTCTAATTTCGAAACTTCAACTTGAAATAAAATCCAAGAATTAACTATAAAAAAAATGACATTAATGCAAGGGACTATGCTTTGCTAGATCCAGCTACGTGAACTCCAATATAGCAATATTTTATAAATAAATGAGGTGCAATCAGCATTTCTATTTGTTTAGGGAACAATATCAACTTATCCTAGAGTTTTTACGAACGAAATTAGTAGATCAATATCAACGATTTAAAAAAGATTGGTATAAGAAAATTTCTATGAACAAAGTGATCTTTCCAAAAAGATGTGGAATAGGCTCATTATGGATGTATTTAGCAATTGAAGAGACTTAATGATGGAAAAGGATATGCCTTTTTTATTCATGTGGAATGACCTACGTGATCTCCATTTGGTCGATGCCACCCTCGCGGGTGGCACCCGTTTTTACTGTGGACCAATCACAGTAAGCCACGTGGCTTTTTTTTATTTTTACAGATTTTGCTTTTTTTCTCCTCCCTTAATCCGATAGATCAGCGTGCAATTGACCAATTTCAGATTTCTTTTTTCATTTACTACTTACCATGGTTAGAACCATGGTTAACAAATTAAGGGAAATCAATCGCAGATCTAAAATCACAATCACATTCACAGATCCATCGCGAAAGAAACATTCGCGAAATTCATCCCTCATCACAGATCCATCGCGAAATCAGTCGCCCGCTGCGAGAGAAACATCATTTCATCGAGAGATTCAGCCCCGATTCAACCCCGAAATTCTTAACCAGTTCATCGCCCGATTTCACAGCCCCAATCCATCGTCTCGAGATTCAACCCCAAAATTCTTAACCAGTTCATCGCCCGATTTCACAGGTAAAAGAGTTAGGGTTCTTTTTAGGAGGATAAAAGTAGTTATTTTGGAAATCAGTTTTGTGAATTTGGAGGAATTAGGGTTCTATCGCCCGATTGCAAAATTAGGGTTTCTCTTAATTCTTTGCTTACTCTATATTGTGATTTTGCAGAATTAGTGTTGCTTTAATTACCAAGATCACTGGAAGAAGACAACAAGGAAGTTATTATGGATTTATGCATTGAGGTTTCATGATTCATATCAAATATAGAGTTTTTGAGAGTCAACGAGTTAAATGAACTACAGCTGTTGAGGCCTCTAACTACTGGACAGAAAACCTGAACTACACAAGTATATATACATTAGTCAGAATCCACATGTCCAGAAAGGAAATTATACAAAAAGACTTGAAGCCAAGAAATTGATGCAAAGTAAGTAGGCTTGCTCCTTATTGTCCACATGATCTTCCTACAGATGGTAAAACTAATATACAGGTTCAATCTTAAATGGAATAAAAAAGAATACAAAGAAATGAATTATTATAGAGATGGTCAAACTACAATGCATATTCATCCTAAAAAATGAGAGAAAATAAAACAAAACAAAAAATGAGAGAAAATAAAAAAAGAATAAAAAGAAATGCATTATTGAAGAAGATACAGGTCATGAGTTCCTTTATTACCCAAATAGAACAAAACAAAAAATGAGAGAAAATAAATCAAAGAAAATCAAATCGGCAGTACTCATAGCACAACATTCTGAGATTCACTAGACATAATTCTACCGACTTCTGCAGCAAAATCTCACGTATAGCCTACTTCTTACACAAACCAAGAAAAAAAAATCAATTCCTTTCTAAATTAAAAAATCTAGCGCGCATCGTATGAATTGAAAGCAATCAAAGAATTAATTTCAATGAAACATAATTTACTCTTTTTTCCCAAGAAAATAAGCACAGACCAGCGGATTCTTACTCAGTCGTATGAATTCCCCAAGATAATTTACTCTTTTTTCCCGAGCTGTGATGAATGCCTGCGAAAAACCGAGCTAAAGAAGATGAAATTTCCCGAGCTGTGTTTTTTTCCCGAGCTGTGATGAATGCCTTCAGAATTTTAGATCTGAAAAAGAAAAAAAAAAGCGGGATTTTGAATTTTAGATCTGTTACTTTAAGTTGTAACCATGATTAGTAAATAAAAAATAAAAAAAAATAAAAGATATCTACAATTGCACGCAGATCTATCGGATTAAGGGAGGAGAAAAAAAGCAAAATCTGTGAAAATAAAAAAGCCACATGGCCTACTGTGATTGGTCCACAGTAAAAACGGGTGCCACCCGCGAGGGTGGCATCGACTTAACCTCCAAGTATGGTGGTCGTCTGACAAGTCTCGAGAATATATATATTTGTCTTGATACTAACAAAATACCTCGTGATCTTTTGTCGTCCAACTTTTGCACATAAACAAAATTTTGTACTATTTATGTTATACAAATAATCAAAATTTTAAAATATAATATTATTATATAACTTATAATTTTAATATTATATACATATTATTTATATTTGTACATATCCACAATTACCATTTTTTTTAAACACACAAGAAGGTCACGATTTATTCTCTAATTTGGGCAAGTCTTTGACCTCACTACCTCCATGCATGCTCCTCCTCCCATTACCTCACCCTCCTCCTTTCCCGCTTTCTTTTCCCCCCATTATCCCATCTATTGTCTCACATCAAAATTAAAACATTAAATCAATCGCAGAAATACCTCTGGATTTCTTTTCTACCAATTTCGAAATAAATAAATAAAGAAAAAAAAAAGACAAACGCCGTGGTGAATGAGTACGGACGCCGCCGACGATGGGCTGCGCAAGCCCCTTTTGCACACCGGAAGCTGGTACCGCATGTCGGGCTTGGGCTCCCGCCAATCCAGCATCATGAACTCCTCGGCCCAGTTCCTGCGTGAGTCCATCTCCGTCTATTTTTGCGTTCTCATTGTTGCCCTTGGCCCAATCCAATTCGGTTTCACCGTGCGTCTTCATTCCTTCAATTTATTAATTTGTTGTTTTTTTTTTTTCTTTCATTTTTCGCAATCACGTAATAGCTTTGAGGTTGATTTTCAGTGTGGATACTCTAATCCTACCCAATCCGATATTATTAAAGATCTTGGNAATTGGTTTCAATATTAAGGCATATTATATTTTATGTCACAATCGACTTGTCAAACGCAGTCGCTCATAATTGCCGCAATTCCGAATATCATTGGCTGGCTTGCAATTTCATTTGCCAAAGTGAGTATCACTCGCATTTTTTCGGTTGTTGAATGTTTATAATTTGTATAATTTATTTTTTTAATACGAATATATTAAAACATAATGTACATGTCACATCTCATACTCGATAACAAAATATTTTATATAAAAAATATTTTAAAATCAAGCTAGTAATTGTGGCCTCACCCTGTATGCCTTGCAGAGCTCGTCGTTCTTGTTCATGGGAAGATTGTTGGAAGGGTTTGGTGTCGGCATAATCTCTTACACAGTAATTCCAATTTGAACAATAATGCATAATTAGATTATTATTAGTTTACAGTTGATATGACTGGTGTTTAATCTTGTTTAAACATTTGTAGGTGCCTGTATACATAGCAGAGATTGCACCTCAGAACTTAAGAGGAAGCCTTGGATCTGCAAATCAGGTTGGGAGTTTTTTTTGCTTACTTGTTCTAATTATTTAGCTACACTGGTTAATTAAAGGCATGCCAAAATTTATTAATCTCATTAGTTTGCAATCTCATTTAGCTTTCAGTCACAATTGGAATCATGTTGGTGTATCTGTTGGGGCTTTTCGTACATTGGAGAGTGCTTGCGGTTATAGGTGAGAATATATTCTGCTTAAGCAATAACTTGAATAAGTATTGTGAACTAAATTCCAACACAAAAAATCTAAGACTAGTATGATTCATGTTTAACATTAAGACGTAATTCCGAACAATTTGAATCATAAATATTGAGGAACTCATTTTATGCATATATTATACTAAATTGATAATTTCACTTGTAGGAATTTTGCCATGCACAATCTTGATTCCTGGCCTCTTTTTTATACCAGAGTCTCCTCGTTGGTTGGTATGAGAATTAGAGCCTGAGTTCATTTTTTCAATCATGATTGTCTTGGATTCATATATGAAATCTTAATTTTTTATTTATCTAGGCTAAAATGGGCTTGAATGAAGATTTCGAAACTTCTTTGCAAGTTCTAAGGGGATTCGAGACAGATATCACATGTGAAATAAATGAGATTAAGGTACCCCTGTTCTGGAAATGTAGTTTTTGTTATAACTGTGCATTTCAAACTTGTTACATCTAATATTTGATTATTAATTATTCTGGATGTTTTCCTCAGAAATCTGTAGCTTCATCAGGCAAAAGAACCGTACTTCGATTTTCAGAGATCAAGAGAAAACGCTATTGGTACCCTTTGATGGTAACGAATATCTTCGCCAATTACTTGCCATTTGTTCGTTTAGAATTTCCTCGTATAATGGTGATTTAAGTAACCCCTTGTGTTATTTAAAGGTTGGAATTGGGTTGCTCATGCTCCAACAACTAAGTGGTATCAATGGTGTTCTTTTCTATTCGAGCAGCATATTTCAAGCTGCAGGTAAGGTTTCAACTTTTAAGCCAAAATCCATCATAGTACTCACCGAAATAAGTTACTAATTAAAGAATTGTTCATTTTTTAATGTTGTAAATGTGCAATTTCTTTTCATGTATGATACGGGATGAAATTTTCTGATATTGGGAGGACATTTGGTTTATGGAACACTTATAGCCCCTAAATTTACCAGCTTATCGTTCGTGGTTTATGCCACACATATTATGAGTCCACGTTAATTCATCCATTGCTGGTTTTTTAAATCATGTTGTTTTCTAAAACAAATTAAAATGCTGAATCATTCATTTTTTTTTTTTTTTCGAATTACGCATTTCAAATTTGAATAGGTGTTTCATCGGGTAAAATTGCAACATTTGCTATTGGGCTTATCCAGGTAAGAAAAAAAAATCAAGAACAAATACGAATCCCAATTATTCGTATCATTCACTAGCCTTCTTAAGACTTGTATATGTTTGTGTAAAGGTCGTTGTTACTGGTGTGTCAGCAACTTTGGTGGACAAAGCTGGTCGAAGGATTCTTCTTATCGTAAGCTTTAAAATCCTTGTAATTAATATTGAATATATCTGATATTTAATCAATCTCGTTGTTAATTAAAATCTAAATTGTTTCTCTAGGTGTCTTCCTCTCTAACAACCGCGAGTACCTTCCTTGTTGCAATTGTGTTCTTCTTAAAGGTCTACACTGCTTTGACACCCATTTTTTTTCCTTTTCTTTCGACATGTTTCAATTTCCCCATTTTTAGTAGTATATTTGAGTTATTTACTTCAGAAATTAGTAACGTAAATTGCTGTTTTATTGAAAGCAGGACAGTTTACCCGAAAGTTATCAATCTATGATGGGAGTACTTTCACTAGCTGGACTTCTGGTATGAATTACATTCAAATAGTCAAATGAATACACATCCTTCATTATATTTCCGTTCTTTTTATTACAACTCCTTTATCACAGATTTTCGTGAGTGGCTTCTCTGTGGGACTTGGAGCAGTACCATGGATTATAATGTCTGAGGTACAATAAATAATAGACAGATAGATATATATAGGTCTCAAGTATTCCATTACGGATGGATATTGATATAGTAAGCCCAAAATGTTAAACGACATGCTATTAGGCTACCCATCTTTATATTTATTGATGATTCGTGCGTTTGTGTATATATATATTCACTCACTTATAAGGTGTAAAATGAGACTTAAGTTTTATGGTTTTAGATTCTCCCCGTAAGCATAAAGAGTCTTGCTGGAAGTGTAGCAACATTAGCCAATTGGCTATCGGCATCTATCATTACAATGACGGCTAATTTACTCCTAACTTGGAGTAGTGGAGGTTCTCTCTCTCTCTCTCTCTCTCTCTCTCTCTCTCTCTCTCTCTCTTTCTTTTTCTTTCCGAGTAAATAATTCACAACATGATTCGAAATATGAACTGTTAGTTCATTTATACTTTGTTTTTTTGACAGGAACTTTCGCCATTTATTCATTAGTATCGGCATTTACTCTGTTATTTGTGGCAATGTGGGTTCCTGAGACCAAAGGGAAAACGCTGGAAGAAATTCAATTTTCCTTTAGACGATAGTGTCTGCAATGCAATGTACAGTTTCAGCTCCCTCTCGAGTATCACACATTCACTTAAGTAATGTTTGAAGATCAATTTGTATATACCTACATGATATTGATTACAAGACTGCCGAATGAATCAAATTTAGGGTCTGAGTTTATGATGTGCACATTTGAAATATTCTTTTCCTTAAAAGGAAAGGATAAAGGTCTGTTACATCGAAACCGTATCAGCCGAGGTTTTAAACCGGAAATAGGTGCTTTAAAGATTCATTTTCTAGCTTCATGATTTGTAGCATGCAAGGAAGCAAGGAACTGCTTGAGACATCTATTGTAGACAAATGGTCTTTCCAGGTGAACTAGATGACCTGCTTTCTTTATACTCTGTAGTGTAGTCTTTTCACCAAGCTGTCTGTACCATTTGAATAAAATAAAATAAAATAAAAACTCATAAATAAATATGTTTGAAAAAGGCTCTCCATATAATTTGATAAGGTCATTATGAGCAAGTAAATTTACTGTTTGGTATCCCTAGCAAGTTCCAGTTTGAATATATGGTCATTCTCGCCCCAAAGAAGATGTATTCTCTGCATTTAAAAAAGAAAAGATTAAATGGAACACATTAATTCAGATGTTAAAATTGATGATTCCTTCATGATGTTAGTGATAATATTTCGATACCTGGGTAAAGTTAGGAAGGGGCGTATCTTTGGTGGTGACCACTAGGCCTTCAAGTAGTTCAGCCCTTTCCTTNACATCCCGGAAAATGAAATAACTCATTTTAGCAATTTTTGGAGATAATTTTTAACCCCCAAATATTTAGATTAAAATTGAAGATAATTTTGATCTATATATGAAAAAACGACAATTCAATATATAAATTAAAAATATTTTTTATAATAAAGTAATATTAGATAATATATGAATTGTTAAAATTCATTTACTTTTCAGAAAGACACTTGCATGTATGGATAGAGTACTAATTAACATGTATTTAGCATAAATTAGTACTCAATCTTGTGCACGTAAAATTTCTTTTTATAAGTTATATATATATATTGATTATCATAATTCATAAGCAATACTTTGATGTATTTGTATTCCACTCCTTAAACAACTATTCTAAACATAAAGTACATGAATTGAGATCGTATACCTAACTAAATTAATTAAAAAACGAAATAATTATATACCTTGAAAAGATAAAAACATTATTGAATAATATCTAACAAATTTATTAATACTATAGATCCTTTGCATTTGTAGGGGTGTACACAATAGTAAAAAAAAAAATAGTAATNACACGAGAAAGTCTCTGTAGACGCGATCTGGAAACCAGAATTTCCAGTGAACCGCCACCTTAAAGAGCGCCCTACACTCCTTCACACTCGTTGGCAGCAAAAACTCAGACAGTAACGAAAACCCCAACTCTTCCATTATGGCGCTGCAAGTCGTGTCCGTCATCTCCACCACCGACTCGGAGACCACCGCCGCCGCCACCAGATCCGGCCACTGTAATAATACTTTATATATTATTCTATTATTGTGGACCATATAATTAGTTGGACCTACTTGAATTAATAGTCAAACTTATTTAAGGTGATTATGTATTTAATGGATTATTAATGTTCTAATATTAAAGAGTCCAATTTGTGATGTTTGACTTGGACAATAAGTTAGGTTAGAACATGGGGAATGTTAGTAGGATTAGGATTGTAGGTCTCCTCTTATATATATTACTACATGCCCCTCTCTCCCATCTCATACGCAAATAAAGTTCTCAACATCAAGGGTTTTATGAAAAGACGAGAGAAGCGGGAGAGAGAAACAATTCATAGGCAAAGGGAAATCCATCATTGGAGATTATGAGAAAGATAGATCCATGACATTACGAGGACGAAGAGATCGCAGATCAACATCATAGATCAAGAAAACAGAGAAGGACTATAAGCTGGATTCTTGTAAGTTCTATGTGCAATTTAATTTATGCAACGATCCATATTCTATGAACTGATAGAATTACATGCTTAGGGTTTATTCAATTCCGCCTGATAGTTATGAGTATGCCCGTTAAATTTCTTACATGTGGTATCAGAGACAGGTTTTGCATGATTATATTGTCAATTAAAGTTTTAAGCTAGCGTGTGAATTGTTCTTGTTTATGCTATGCAATTATGAATATATATATATATATTCATATATATATATATATATTTGCACTAAAAGACCGTGAGTTGTTTTACTACCGCAATTGCAATATCTGCCAATTAGAGTTTATGAAGGAATTGTCAATTAGAGTTTTAATTCTGACTATTACAGTCTATGAATTGGTATGAATAGCGTGAGTTGTTCCATTGGACAGTCATGAATTGTGCAGAAAAAAAAGGGGGTTTGTGCCTCGAATTGTTTTAATTCCCGCATCATGATTGTCAACTGTGTATTGATGACAATTGTTTGTGAAAGATTATGGGGGTTAATTATGAAACTCTCCATCATTAGGCGACTAATTACAGTTATTGTATGTCACTGATTCTGCACTTCGGTCTTGCAGGACTTTTAGTTCTATTATTATTTTATTTGATATTGACATATGTTACAGTTGATTATTTGTTGAAAGAGATTAATCAAATGTCAATAATCTCATAATTCAATAAAATATTTTTATGTAAACAAACTAGTTAGTCACCAAAGTGGCCTAGTTTAATTTATGGAATAAATAATTAAATTAGATGAAATATAATTAAAATAAAATATTATCTAATTATATTATATATGTAAGAAACTAGTTAGTCACCAAAGTGGCCTAGTTTAATTTATGGAATAGATAATTAAATTAGATAAAAGTATCAATTATTCAAATATAAGACGATGTCTTATTAATGTACCCTAATATTATAATATTTGAATAATTGATGTTATAGATTATAAACTAGGAGGACACCCAAAGGTGGGCCATGGTTTGTAATATATGACAATAAAAGAGAAATTATATTAAAGTTAGGTTAATTAGTGTGTTTGTCCAAAGATAACCACTAATTAATCACAATACCTATAATTTCTATTAAAGATCTTTCCTCTGGGACATCAATCAAGTATATTATATATTTAAGTATTTGCCCAAAGGTATATTTAAATATATAATTTAAAAGATTTATGAATCCATTAATTATCTCTCAAAGCTTAACTAAATAGCATGTATTAAAGTTTGCAGCGTTAAAAATTTGGTTATCCGTACAGTACTATAGTTGAAAAATTCAATTGGCTGAAATTCAATGAATGGTCTAACCATATCCAATTTCAGCTAAGTTCAATGAATTTGGATATGACTCTAATTATTGATGGAGTTCCCACAACCATTACTGATGAGAGCTTCGAAGTAGAGGTAACTCTTCGTAGGGCATGTGAGCGATCAAATAGGTTGTGTTTGAATTTTATGAAGTTAATCAAGACGGATAACATTAAGGCTAATAATACAAAAGAATTCCTAAATAAAAAATCAAGGAATTACTCCATTTAAAATTACGAAAAAAGTCTATTGTGGGAAGTTTCATGAACGTGCTCTTCACTATAAAAGTTCGACTGATTCTGTTCCATCTATGATCTCGTGACCCGCATGTTCAACATATAAGTTAAACTTACAAATATGAGAATGAATGTGATAGACTCATTTATGATTCTATTCATCATGAACTCCCTACCTGCCGAGTTTGGCCAATCCTAGGTGAACTGTACCACCACTAAAGATAAATGGGAATAAGGCTATGTTGGTGCAGGAAGAGGCGAGAATAAATGAGATGAAAGAGAGTCGATTCACTTATATCTCATGTGTAAGCCAATAATAGTAAGATAAAATGGGAAATAAAGGCAAGTAAAGGAGATTGGCTTACTTAATGTTTTTTCCAGGTCCAATCATTAAAGAAATGAGGTGTTATTTCTGTAAAAAGTTAAGCCACCTCAGAAAAGATTGCCGAAAAAAAATATTGATTCAGAAAGAAAATATACATTAAATTTTCGTATATTGTGAATCAAATTTATTAAAGATTCCCAATAATACTTGGTGGTTTGATTTTGTGCAACTACTTATATTTTGAGGTTAAACGTAGTGCACATAATTAAAATTCTACTCTCTTATGGGATTAAAGATTATGGTCACATATCCGAAGAAAAGTTTTGAGAATGGTGAATAATGAAACTATTTCTCATTTGGATTTTAGTGATCAAGATGTATGTGTGGAATGAATTAAAGAAAAGCAAACTAGACATACATTACAGAGATCTGCCAAGAGAAGCACTAAAATTTTATAACTTATTTACACTAATTTTTGTGGTCTATTCAACGTCCCTTTGTGGGGGTGATGTAAAGTATTTAAATACCATTATAAATGATTTATCACGTTATGGTTATATTTATCTACTACATGAAATGACTCAATCATTTGACTATCCAAAGATATACAATGATGAGATGGAAAGGTAGTTAGACAAATAAGTAAAAGTTGTGAGATCTCACTAGAGTGGTGAATATTATTGTAAGTTCAAATAAAAGAGGTTAATATCCTAGTCCATTTGCAAAGTTTCTTGAGATTTGAAATATTTGTGTGCAATACACTATAATTGAGACTCTTCAACATAATGGTGTTGCTGAGAGGATAAACCGTACTTAAAGAATATGGTTAGGAGTATGTTGAGAAATTCAACATTAACGTTTTCTATGTGGACTGCTGCATATTGGGTAAACAAGGTTCCTAGTAAAATAGTTCCTTTTATGAACTATGGAAGGGTAGGAAACCTAGTTTGAGGCATCTTCATGTTTGAGGGTGTCAAGCAGAAGTAAAAGTATATAATCCACATGAAAAGAAACTTGATCCTAGGACAGTCAGTGGTTTTCTCATTGGCTATTCGGAAAAGTTCTGAAGGATATAAGTTTTATAGGCCTAATCATAGTACGAGAATAGTTGATTCCAGCAATGCTCGATTCATTAAAAATGATCAAATCAGTGGAGTTTGGAACTACAAAGTTTGGATGTCAAAGAAACTCGGGTTGAACAGTGTTAACCTGAGAGTCCATCAATGGTTGTTATTCTTTTAGTTACAGTACCGTCATGTAACTTGGATGAATAACAAAATGATCCAAACTCACTTGATAATGAATCATCACAAAGCAATCAAGAAATTATAGAACAACCTTTGGTTGATGAAATCACAAGCCATGAAAAGTGAAAATTCTGTAAAAGTTGATCAATGCTGTGAAAGAATAATTACAGTCAATGGATGACAACAAAGTTTGGAATTTAGTAGAATTACCTGAAGGGTCTAAAAGAGTTGGGTGTAAATGGGTTTTTCGAAACCAAACACGACTCTAAAAGTAATATCGAAAGATATAAAGTTAGACTTGTTTCTAAAGGTTACACCCAAAAGGAAGGCATTGACTACAAGGAAACATTATCTTTCGTTTCAAGAAAGATTCCTTCAGAATTGTAATGGTAATGGTGGCTTTGTATGATTTTGAGCTTTATCAAATGGACACAAAGATCACCTTCTAAATGATAAACTTAAAAGGAGATCTACATGAACTAACTAAAAGTTTTTGAGATCACAAAAAATGAAACGTTAGTGTGTAAGTTGAATAGATCGATATATGGACTAAAACAAGCCTCTCGTCAATGGTATCTTAAGTTTAATGATACCATCACTGCTTATGGTTTTGTAGAGAATACCGCAGATCGGTGTATCTACATTAAGGTCAGTGGGAGTAGATTTGTTATTTAGTTTCGTATGTCAATGACATATTATAGTTGCTAATAATATGGACATGTTGCACGAAGTAAAGAATTATCTCTACGAAAATTATTAAATAAAGGATATGGATGAAACGTCCTTGGTAATTGGAATAAAAATATTCTAGAATAGATCACAAGGACTAAAAGTTTATCCTACAAAAGTTTTATTCGAGATTTTGGAGATATTTACTATCGATGGTTGTTCCATATAATTCCAATTCATAAAAGGGACACATTTAGTCTATAATAAATGTCCGAAAGGTGAAATGGAATGAAAAAGTGATGGAGGGAATTTCTTAGATATAAATGATTAGGAATCTTAAGAAGGACAAACCTGTACTAGGTTTGATAACATATTTGTTGCTGGTACGTTAAACAAATATAAAAGTAATCCCTAAACGATTATTTAAATGCTGCAAGGAAATTTTTTAAAGTACTGACAAGGCATTAAAGAACACATGCTAACTTAAAGAAGATCCAAATTATTGGTTATAATTAGATATTCGGATTCAGACTTTTGCTCATAATGTCTAAAGAAGCAAAATTATAGAAAAGTGGGACAAAGTCCATCACCGCGACTTCCACGATTAAGTTTGAGTTTGTGGTATGCTTTGAGGCTACAAGTCAAATTTAGGGCTACGATGCTTTATCTTAGGACTTGGAAGTGTCGACATCTTGTTCAAGCCGCTAAGAAATTATCGCCATACCGTAGTTTCAAGGAATGACAAGTGTTCAAAGGGTGTGAATCACATAAAATTGAAATACTTGGTCATAAAAATAGAAGTGAAGAACTAAAGTGTCATTTGAGCATTCTAGTACTAATTGCATGAAAGCGGATCCATTTAAAGGTTATTCCCTATAGCCGTTGCAAGGCATATAAAGAAAATTGGGAATAACGAATGGGGCCTTGTTGGACTGACCGATACTGAATGAAATTGCTCAATTATTGATTTTGGCACTTATTGAATTCAATTAAAGATGTTTGATTCTTCACACTCAATACCATCATTATGGATATTTGATTTTATAGTATATATACATAAATGTTGGATGACTTATGGTTATGGTACGAATAGTTTGTTCCATATTAAAGTAAAGTTGAATTAGAAATGATTTGTGGTACATGGAAGGGATCATGTCGCTCAAAGACTTATGACCGCCATGACTCGGTTAGTTTCTATTTTAATTTTAAACTTATAGATATATGTATTCAATTATGAGTTTGATGAAAGGTGCGCGCTTAAAGTAGTTCTTTGGGTTTCGACACTTATATGGTCCAAGTGGGAGAATGTAATAATACTTTATATATTATTCTATTATTGTGGACCATATAATTAGTTGGACCTACTTGAATTAATAGTCAAACTTATTTAAGGTGATTATGTATTTAATGGATTATTAATATTCTAATATTAAAGAGTCCAATTTGTGATGTTTGACTTGGACAATAAGTTAGGTTAGAACATGGGGAATGTTAGTAGGATTAGGATTGTAGGTCTCCTCTTATATATATTACTACATGCCCCTCTCTCCCATCTCATACGCAAATAAAGTTCTCAACATCAAGGGTTTTATGAAAAGACGAGAGAAGCGGGAGAGAGAAACAATTCATAGGCAAAGGGGAATCCATCATTGGAGATTATGAGAAAGATAAATCCATGACATTACGAGGACGAAGAGATCGCAGATCAACATCATAGATCAAGAAAACAGAGAAGGACTATAAGCTGGATTCTTGTAAGTTCTATGTGCAATTTAATTTATGCAACGATCCATATTCTATGAACTGATAGAATTACATGCTTAGGGTTTATTCAATTCCGTCTGATAGTTATGAGTATGCCCGTTAAATTTCTTACAGCCACATCTCCGCCATCTTGAACGCCACCACGCCGCCGTAGCTGAACCCCACCACCGTGCACCGCCGGACCCCCAGCGCCCTCAGGGCCTCGGCCAGGCACTCCGCCTAGAACTCCGGCGACCGGTCGGGCCTGTCGGTGGCCGATCCGCCGAAGAAGAGGAGGTCCGACACGTACACGGCGTGTTTCTTGCTCAGGGGGCCAACCTGGAACAGCCACGTCATGATCCCGTCGGCGGCGAAGCCATGGACGAGCACCACTGCGGGCTTGTGGAGGGTCTCGGATGGGGCCCAGATGTTGATGACGGTGCCGGCGTTGATTTGGACGATGTGTGGTACGACGCCGGCGGCTGACTTCATCAGGCGGCGTAGCAGTGCCCGATGTGCTGTCACAAGGTTTACTATTCCCTTTTTCTTTTTTTTTTTCCTCTTCTTTTCNAAAAAGAAGAAGTTAAAAGCTGCAAGTTGTAAAAGGCCCGCCAGTACGATTATTTAATGACCCGGTGCAACGAACTAGGTCTCACCCTCGTGTCACTAATTTTTACACTGTCAATTTTATGTATTAATAAAATTGTAAAAATACTCTTCATTTGAGTGAAGTTTTTTTATTTATTTTATCAAATTAAAAAAAAAAAACAAGAAAATTAATCATCAATCTTAATTGTAAAACGATATAGTATACTTGTTGATATGCGATACGCACCAACGATTAGGGAAATTCCATAAGTAAAATATAATAAACATCAAATGAGGTCGGATGTTGACCCAGATTTTATATAGCAAAAAGTTCAAATTCTTAGTATAATTTAGAAGATTTTTAGAAAGAGTCATCAAATCTGCCTTTGTTACAATAAATGAGAGGTATTTATAGTGTAAAACCTAAGGGCATGGTTCGCGATGCCAGCACGTTGCCATTTAATGTGATCTCACGGCGTCGTGTGGCTCTACAGGGCGGGTCCCACACCTAATGATCACCTTTCAACAAGAACATAAGGCTTATCCGCATTAAATATACTGCCAGAGATCGGTTCTCAAGAATTCATGATCGGCTCATTCATGATAGGATAACTGAACTTTTCACAAATCTTATTTCAACACCAGACTGCTTGCTTCGTTGTTTTACCTTTGCGGTTGCGGACCGACCATCAGACGAGGAGGTCGGATCCTTTGCCAGGACCTTGGTTTCATGCCGAACTGGTTGAAGTGTGGTCGAAGAGTTGGACCGGTTTATGAGATCCATGTTCTTAGGCCGTGTGGTCATATAATTTGTGCCATGTGTCCATCGGTTAAGGAGTTTGCAGTTCAAATGTTAACATACTTGGGTGGCCCGTAATTGAGGTTGGGTCGCCCGAGGTCGACATATATAAATCGGACTAAACTGGTGTAAGGTATGCCAAATGCCTTATTAAAAAATAAATAAATTAATTTTTGAATTGAGTGATTTTGGCCGACCAGCTTTATGAAAAGGCGTTTTGAGCAATTATAACTTTTGAATTGAGTGAATTTCCTCCGATTACACCGCCTGGGCAAAAATTACTGGCCTAGTGGTTGTGTTCCGCCAGGAGGAAGAAGCGGGGAAGAGTAGTCTCGCCCTAAGCGGGAGGGTGGCCAGACCCGATCCTTAAGGAGATCCGGGGCACTTACTCGTTCAAGGAGACTAGCAACAAGTCGGATTACTTTTACGGCTCGGTACGTCTGGGCATAATCAAGAAATTGGTCACCCAATTCCCCAACACCTTGCACGGTTTTCAAAGGGAGTGGTTTTGGATCGGGGGCCAATGGCAAACCCTGGGTGCAGCTGTGGTCGGTGGCGGAGAACACACCTTGACAGTGCCGACCAAATTTTCGACGGAAAATCGTGAGTCTTAATTTATTCGTGTTTCATTTTCTAAACTTCTTTTGTTTTATGTTGATAGGTCGGCTTTCCTATTTTTAATTTGTGAGGTGGTACCCGAGCTTGGACAGATTTTCGACGATTAGTTGGACCACCTGCCAAAGAGAAAACCCGACGATCGCTATTGGAAGGATCTCTTCCTGCACCAGTACGATTTGAGCCCGAATTTCATCGATTATAACTTTGAACCAGGTCGGTTGTTATTCAGATGTTTCTGATATTCCTTCACTTTTTACCATCCCGGCTGTTAGATTCGTCATGTCATCTACCTTAGCCTCGTTTCTATCCTTTTTGCAGTATTCAATCCTCTGCTCGGCCTCCGTGTATTTACTTTCGTGAAAAAGTACGATGTCAAAACGGGTTGGCGGGGCGGGCCATCCGCAGCCCGCTAAAACCCGCCATTTGGCTTTAGTCAAAACGGATTTACTTTTTGAGTTTTGTATTATGAAAAATTTGTTATGTCCATTTTCAGCAATCATCTTTATGATGTTATTTAGGAAACTCATTATATTTTTTTCACTTACTTTCCTTAGATTGTGATATGATCCTTTTAATTAAATATGATCTGGAATGGAATAAATATACACGATATATTTAGTAAAACAATAATGTTTATCTACTGAAAAAAATAGGTTAAAAAAATATTTCATCAAGTGCAACATACATGTCAGTTACTAGTGATTGTAATCCAACTTATATATAACATCTGTAATTGACGAAATTCCAAAACACGGACAAAACGAAGATTCAAACTTCGGATTATAAATAGTTACGAGCTGTACCGTGTGTATGTAAATTTGTAATAACATACATTATTCTTTTTAACTTTATTTTAGTGACAATGTACATACGACTCTTGCAATGATTAACGGGACAACATTCGGCATACAATCTAAAATATTTAAAATATATAATATTCTCCCATTCCCAAATCCCAATAGGAGACCTTTTAGAGAAAAATTTGATGATAAGCATAGTCAACAAAAACAACACATAACTTTGTTAGTGTTAACTGGAAAAATAATGTACCACAATCTTTACATGGTCCCAATAAAAAACCAAAAATACATTTTGTTGCACCTTCTATAATACACAACAGATATTGTTATGCAAATTTATGACCTATTATATTCCTCAACTCTCACAATTTTTGGAAGTCTCTCTTCTCTTCTATCCACCTGTTACCACGACATGTAAGGCAAAAATCCTTAAACCAAACCACAAAAAAATAAGCCATTTGATCCTCTCACATATGCCCCACTCTTCTAAGCCTCTCTCAAGACTTGGTCAGATGATAAAACAAACAATTCCAACAAAAAATCAACTGCTTAGTTTTGGAGCCTTGATAAAATGCACACTTTTCACCAATCCTTTGCCGAGTTGACCCACAGATTTCAGCACATCAAGTAGATCAGTGTTTTCACCTCCATCACCATCCCTTCCTCGTTTCTGAAAAATTCACACAGCATAGGCTTTAATAATAATAATAGTTGCAGCATGTATCAGAAGCATCAAGAATTAATAAATATCCTCTTTTTTTTTTTCGCCTTTTTACCTTCGAACTTCTATTTCCACATGTGAGACCAATGGCGTCACCTCCAAAAGAGTCATACCACACATTAAATGTGTCCGCAAACTCCGTCTGTTCATATGACGACATAAAAACGGCTCAGTGTGCATACAAGTCATGAAATCAATCATTAATTTTTTTATTTTTTTTTTTTACTTGCCTTGATGTCATTGACAAAATATCTTAGCGGGTCAAAGTTCACCATTAGCTTATTTTTGAGTTCATCTGGGCTCCCTCTCAGGTCTCCAGGCAATAAGAAAGGTTGGAAAGTTTTGCTAGGTTTTCCACTTATCACATTCTTCCCTGCACAGAGGAACAAATGGGATTACAAAATCCACATTTCACAGCATACGAAAAAGGGTTCACTAAGAACTATAAAAATATAAAAAGAAAGAACTTAATTTACCAATGCCCCTTGATATATTTCCTATTTCAAAAATTGGTGGAGATAACTTGAAAGACAACTGGGCTAAATGTACAAAGAACAGCATATTTCCTCCATTACCGCACAAAGGGAAGGACAATATGTACCTAGTTTGACTTCAGATGGGAACAAGAGATGTTGTGGATAAGGTAGTTTATCCCTGTGCAGAAGAATGACGGCATTGTAGTTGTTCAGAGGTGTTCGGAAAACGCACTGCAAAACAAGCAAAGGCAGGTTATGACTAAAAGAAGAATAACAGGTATGATAGTCAGGAAAGCAGAAGGGACCCCACTCACTTCCCATTGGTAATGATCCTTTTGATTCTTCATAATGATGTTGTTCAAGAAATTAGCACTGCTGGTTGCATATGCCGCGAGTCTCCTGAGGTCCTGATGCATCTCATTTCTCGTGTTAATGCCAAAGAAAAGAAATAGAAATCCAATTTTTAAAGGAAAACAGAACAAAAGTACACATAGTTTCCTTTTATTAAAAGCCCTATTTAAATTTATCAAGAAATCTGAAAAAAGAAAAAAAAAAGTTCTCTGGAAAACATACGAGGGGATATCGTAACAGGATTTTCATATTAAAGCACTCGCTTGAAATTTATTGAAAAAGTTCAGCAACAAGCCCAACAATATACCAAGATTCCTTGTAGCAACAGGAATTTGAACTAAAAAACATATTGGAATGAATTTTCATATATCTGGAGTTACTCACTGCTGCAGATGGTGACTGGCTGGTCCAAGCTTCAGATTCTTTGTCATAGTTAGTTGCCAAAAACATGGCAGGTTTAACATTGTGAAGATTCTCTTCGCAACCTTTTCTAGTTGACATGAAATTCTCCTATTCCAACACAAAGATGCACAGAGCTTCATCAATTCAAGTTTCATATAAATTATTCAACAAATAACCACATCAGGAACGCCTAAAATTTAGAGTTGCAGCCTACATTGATTTCTTTGCTATCTTCTGGAGTTAGATCACCATTGATGTCGACAATTAAAGGAGAGAAACTCCAATCGTATTCGGATAGCAACCTCAGGAATCTGCGAAGAAGTGAATATGCCAAGTAAAGTATGAAAATATAACCAAATAAAAGTCAATGTTCCACATTGTAACTTCAGATTTTGACAATTCCTTTAGAGTGGCAAAACATAATCAGCTTTATAACTAATCTGAACCCCAATACTTGTTGTCATTTGAACACACAAGCTACTATTTGAAGCTTGTATTACTAAAAATTGTGGCACCTAGAATGCTCCATAAGTTACTTCATTGGAATTAACATCTGCTTATGGGTATGTATTATACTTTGGCTATGGTTGCGAAAGTTCCTTTCGTGGTCATCTATTGACTAGTCTACCATCCTAGATTACAGTACATCTTTGAACTGTTCCAATTGAGCTAATATGTCTTCTCATGTTACATCTAGTCTGCAAACATTGATTTCTTCTTTCTTGAGTCAAAGAGGTTTTCAACTACTTCTTGCCTAAGACATTATAAATATACTTATGTTTCAGTTTGATTTTCTTTCAAAAAAAGAGAAACTGCCATGGTTCCTTTGTTATATTTCTTCATACTCTGTTTTTCTTAAATATAACTTTTTCAATAATGAGCCACTAGAAAGGTGCAAGGAAAAAGTTTCATAACAACTTTACGTCCGCAGTCCGACATTCTCTCTAACAATGGATGAAATTATATATTTTCTCTTATAATAGATGAAATTAGAACATCAACAAAATTCAAACTAGAATTTACAACAGATGCAGTATTAATCTGGGTGAACTAAAATCTCATATTGAGCGTGTGAAAGTAGAATAAAAGTTCAAAAAGTCAGAAAAATTCCATTGTGATGTTATATTGTTATGTTACAAACAATAATTAACATAGAAGCGAATCACCACAAAAATCTGAAACAATTTTTTTATGGCAGTCCGAGACAAATCTAGTTAAGAAACACTTTGAAAATGACTGAAGACAAGCCCACAATAGCGATATACTCTTCATCGAAATAAAGAAATTTATATAAAATGCATCAGATGTGGCAAATATATATATATATATATATATATATATATATATAATAATAACCTCAGGAATCCAGTTATTCGGGAGCATGGTGGTCTGAATGGTAAAGGCTTCAAAAATAAGTGCGCGACCAAAACCTCAACTGCCTCTTCAGACAATATGTTTGAAAATAGATGTGCAGATACCCAGCGTTTTGCAAGCCTTATTGATAGAAATAAGTCAGAACTGGAATTACAGGTTCTTTCACATCGCATAGATTGGTATGAGGACGATGCACAGGAAGAAAATAAGCTAAATTTCTTACCGAACAACTGGCCCATATACTGGATAACGACCTCTTAAACCATTAATCATGCTAGAATGCTGACTACGAAGGAAAAGCTTTTTATCTGAAGATAAAACACGCTTGTTTTGGGCACCACCTACAAACGCAAAGCATGATATTGAAAGTTAAGGTGATAGTAGCTGAAACACGATGTGGTAACAGATCCAGAAAAGAAAAAGGTGTATTACCTTGTCTTTTGACCAAGCTCAAGCCTCTCTCGTGCAAAATTTTTAGACGAAATGCATATCCAGACATAAGAACATCAACATCGTCCTCTGTAGCTGTACTGGTAATTCCTTTTTTGGTGTGAAGACTGCCAGGCAGTATAAGTAAATAGATTAGGATATTTTTCAATTTTTGACCAAACTTACATGAAAACCAACCTTTCTGCAATTTTAAGGAGGAACGCGGACTTGGTTTTCTCCATCGCAACCTCATCCATTGGCCAGTTTCCAGAACCTTCCAGCTATAAGGAAGTGAGAGGTTGTTCCCAAGAACATAGATAAACAAACAAAAACATGTACATTCAGTAGTTCTTGCCTGAATCATTATTTCTAATGGCCGTATACATGTTGCAGTGGGTTTCTTCGTTTTCATCTGACTGCCTTCATGTGCTAATGGATGTGGTGCAGGGGGAATTACAGAGGTCAACCGAAAAGCTGTAGCATGGATGAATAAAGCATTTTATAAAATACAGTAGTGAAAATGTGTGCTAACTCTAATGGTAGGGATAAGATAGGAATGATGGGAGGGAGAAAGGAGGAAAGAGATGTGAGCTATAGATAGTTTTGGCTCCTTTGTTCATACATTTTTTTTTTCTTTCACTATAGTCCAATCACAAATATCAGTTCATTATGACTAGATCAAGACAATTAACTCAAACAATTTGATAAAATAAAGCTGTAACATAAAATGCATGCATTATCTTCTCAATCCTTATAACATTCATCTATGCGAACAATTATTAATTACAGTATATGATAATGAGGGATGTTCCAGTGATAAAAAATGACAAGGGGTATTGTTTAGATGATAGATATCAATCAAAGAAACCCCTGAGAAGGAGAAAACATAAAAATTCATGGGGAAAGAATCAAAATAAAACAGAAAAGTCAGAAAAATATGAGAATGAAACTGTCTACTGCCACCTAGAACCATTTCTTGCCTAAACATTGCCAATTGGAACTCTGACAAGACCTTGGCAGCAGGGTGTATCTGGAGATGGTGCCGAATAAAACACCAACTTAAGTTCAGTCTAATTATCATTCTAGTGAGGGATCTACCAATATTAGCATTATTCCACGTTTTGTTCGTCTCCATTATACATGATTATGAAGAAATTTATGGAGAACCTTGCTAAATAGATTATTTCAGGTAACTACTTCAGCTCCAGATGTAAATTTGAAAGATAAAATATAACAGACTTCATATTAGCGGCCAAAGCATGTTATTGTGGGATCTGTGAGTGAGGAAATCAATTTAAAAAAGAAACCTGAATCCAGAGGCTGCACGCTGGATATCTTCAGAGGAATGTCCTCAAGAAGTCGCAGAAGCTTAGACAGTTCTTCATATGCCTTAAACAAATTTTTGGAAAAGGATATTGGATCTGAAACCATAAACCGTAACCAGTAATTTTTAGTTGGTCCACAGCTTCTAAACACATATAACAGAACAACCAAGAACATGATGATATGCTTACCTCTATTCCCATAGGAAAGAACAAAATCAAGTTGATCGACAATGGGAACAATGTTCTGTTTCGGAAGAGATAGATGGCGCATTAGGGCATGCTCAGCTATTTCCTTTATAATAAGATGTTTTTCCCATTCCTCATGCTCCCAAACTATATCAACAAAGGCAAAGTATGAGTTTTGTATCATTTAATTCATTAGTGCCACACAGCAAAAAGAGATGCTAATGAATCCTCACCTGCAACTTCAGCAATTTTACCATCACGGAACCATCTTAGCGTAGCTTTATCTCCCCAGAACTTCCTAAATTCCACAGCCTGTCACAATATATGAATCCAATTAGAGAATCGATATCGACAGATGCTTTTCTTTAAAAGGAAAAAAAGAAAATTATAGAAATGAAGCGAAAATAAATAATAAACAACCTTATCTTTGTCTTCAGGACTAGGGCCAACGATTGCCTGTTTGAACGCTTCTTCCACAGATCCAATTACAATTCCAATAAACATAGATTCTCCATTTGGTGTCGATAGACCCTAAACATTGCAGAAAATTTATACCATGTTAAAGCTAAATATCATACCAGCATACTATAAATAAAATACCATATAAGAACTATCAGGGTGAGTATCATACATTCTCAAAGTTACATTCACCAGAGGTGTTTCTCCAGATTACTCTAATAAGCTTAGTTCTCCCTTTCAACGCCTGATCAATGACCCCAAGCACCTTCTGCTCGTAAGACCTCCAACATTCATCATCCAAGCAAAATCCAGAAATGTGGAAATCTTGGTTGTCCTTCAAGTCCAATCTAAAAGGAGAAGTTGTGAGACAAGAAGCAAGCAACTTGGTGCTAATAAAGTTTTCTGTTAAAATTTATAAAAAGATATACAATACACATATGAGTACATATGTTATTCATTATGATGTATCGTACCTAATGCAACAGTCATATTTTGCAGGATAATCTATCTTGGTCATAAAGATCTCATCGAAACCACCACTTTCACATTTATCCATGCAAGCAAGTGCTAGAGCAGCCTCATCACGAAGCTGAATACAGGATCATCCAATTTCATATTTGCACATATATTGGTCAGTCCAAAAGATGACAGACATAGATATGTACTCATCATCATGAAAGAAGCAAAATTCAAATATCCTACCTCTTGGAAACCACCAGTTGACATCCGAAATGCCATATTGTAGTTCAAAAGTGAATCACAAATGATTATTGGAAATGACTGCAACTGGGTTTTCTTCTCCTGAAATTATAAAGCTAGAGATAAATATTAAATTAGCCAATAACATAAACACAGTAATGGCTTACAGAGCATCCAGTGAACTGAATATATTAACATATAAACCCAATATTCAGTATTATTAACTAACACTAACGATAAAAGAATTTTAACAACAATAATTTATTACTACTCAAGATACGGAAATTTTAAGAACAAGCCATCTTGAACATGCTAAAAAGTTCTGTATCCCTAGATACCAACTCAAAATCAGAAAATAAGACTCAATAGATAAATAAACATAGGTTTTAAGGAAACACAAGAATATACCTTTGAAATACTTCTCTCGCCTTCAGGTTGAAAGAAGAGTCCACTGTCCCATGCCTTAGAATTGGCTACAAAAGAACATTGACATTAAAATGAGAAACAGAACACTGGTAGAGTTAACTATGAGAAAGAGAACACTGGTAGAGATAAGCATTATGAGGATTATTCCAATCACGAACCACTTATATTTACCTTCACTTGTCTGCATCTCTAAACTTAATTATTCATGAATATAAGTTTTTCAAAGAAGAAACATCTAAAAATACACAATAAGTCTATTGTTACTGGATTCAGTGGGAATTTTCAACATAGTTACTAGCCCTAATTATTTTCAATTCTGGTATAAAGCAACTAAAGATGTAAAATAAAAATGTGCTTATAACATCTCAGGAATCATAAATATCACAAAATTACGAATCATGACCTAGACATAACTCGCTGCAAAATCTGTTATGGGCATGCCAAATCAGAAATGTTGGAGATTACAATATCGATGACAGTGAACAAAATTATCTAGCAATCAACATCTCCATGGAAATAAGAAGCTACGCCTCTAATACTTATCCCGAAGAAATGCATTATTACTGGCAGATGTAATGAACTAGACGTACCAATGAAATCCATTGTGATGCGCAAAATCTGCACGGCATTCATTGAACTGTTGATTCGATTTTTACCAGACTTTGATGCAAGGTAAGCAACAATGGCAGTGATCAGGAATCCGCTTAGGCAGTCATGAACAAATAGAAAGTTTTTGCGAGCCCAAACCTAATCATCAGCCAAATATAAATTTCCTTGCTGGAAGGAAAAATAAAGGCACAAGATAACAAGAATAAAAAGCATGCACTATAGTGCTTATCATACTTTCAATAGTAACAGAGCCTTCCCCAGTTCCTTGTGTCCCTCAAAAGTTTTCTTAATGAATTCCGAATTATCCTCAATTAACATATCCTCCAAAATACTGCTGTTGTACCTCGGCGTAGCTTGTAAGAGACCCAATTGTGAAAATTTAGGAACATGCGTTGGCATTTGAAAAATTGAACGAGGGAAAAATAGGAAAACATACATATAATACCTTGACTCACAGAGCGGATATTGTTCCTCTGAGGGTTCAGTTTTGATAAGGTGAATAGAGAGGGTGCTGTGGGTATTAGTTTCAGGGAGAATACAGTGTTGTCCGATAATCGAGTAACTGAAACATAGAACAGTAGTGGTTTATTACAGAAAATGACCAATTAAGAGGGGGGGAAAAAAAGGACAAAGGACATTTGCTCAAGAGAAACTAGACCTGGATAAACAACCAACACCGGCTTGCGTGCCTCATTGTGAAAAGCTACCCATTTTACATCTTGGACTATAGAAGACTGTTTCAAATGGTTCTTGATCATGCATAGATAGAGGAATCTCTTTGCATGGTAACGATAATTTAAATAGTCTTTTTCATGGAAGCACTCCTGCAACAAATAGAACTGTCTAATGTTACCAACTGAGTTGAAAGTTCTTTACAACATAGTACGAATTTTATAGGCCTACTAATTTGTGGTAACTTTAAGACTTCTTCGTAACTCCATAACACGACCTATACATAGAAAATTTAGCATGTAAGCAGCCTAAAATCTTTAAGCTTGCATTTTTAAGCAACAGACGCAAAATATTATTTGCTTGTCATGATTTGAAAGGGCCATTCCTCTTATATTTACCTCAATTCTTCAATATTTGAACTGAAAAGAAAAATCACAAGGCCTTGTCATAATGGTTGTGTGTTTTAATCAACGGAATATTATCGATAATTACTTGGTTTCAAGCCTCAAATTTACATTTCTGTTCGAAAAGGTTTCCATGTCTGTTTGTAAAATATTGTTTGATCGAGCTTGAACAGACTTCAATCAAACTTTGCACAAATTGGGTTCAGGTAATATTTTCACATAAACTTCACTATTTGTACATAATTAAGTCAAGCTCAATCCTAGCATCACATTTTATGAAATTAAAGAACGCCTTCAGGCTAGGTTTGAAACTCAATAAACCATGATCAAACAAGTTTTTTATGATGATTTTTGAGTCGAGTATAGAGTGATTTGGTTCGCATTGGGTTCTACAACTGGCACCATGCCATCCATGATTTATTGATCCATGATTATAAATCGCTTTATATTCAGAAGACCATTCCGGTTAATATTATTAACAAGAGCTTGTGAAAACCGGGACTCTTATGGACTAATGCAACTTCACAAGGCCACCAGAGCAAAAATTATTAAGAGACATCAATGCTTAACGCTGATTACAAATATGGGCCCCCTAAAAGAACAACTTTTCTACACCTCCAAATTTTGTACATAGTTTAATGTTAGCTCCAAAAACAATTGCACATCCACCCAACACCCTAAAAAGAATATAGCTCCAAAATTTTATTTTGCTTATGTGAAATCAAACATTGGACGAAGTACCTTCGGGAGCCTCAAGAAAAGATCTATGTTCACATCCGGCCTGACAGCACACTGAATTGAATAACTCCCCCCAATTTCTAAGGACTTGGGCGTCCTAAACTTAAACTCCACTTTATCCGCGCCAACATCTCGAACAAAACCGGATGCAACATCAGCAGTAACCTACCAAACAAAATGGAAAACGCATTAGCAAACATAATCATCCAAAAATATAATTTTCTCAACGTTCAGTAATCAAGCGGACAAAACACAATTTGACAACGAACAAAACAAAAAGAAAAAAAAAAAGTAAAAGGAGAGGGCAGCTCGCGGAATATGCCTGGAGGCCTTCTGGGATATTGCTGATGGCTTCTCTAATGGAGGAAACTACATTGTTGACGATTGCAGTATTTACAGCTGAGTAATCTAGCTGAACCTCTTTTAACAGCTCTTGCAACTTCAGGTTCGTGGAATCCGGGTACGTTTCAGAACCCGACGCCATAGTCTTAAGCTTTTCCGAGCTAGAATTATGTTGCTGAGCGTGTGGCCGGGGAGTGTGATGTTGTTTGCTAAACCCTGACTGCTCAACCGGAGATTTCTTGTGTCACCTTAAACCTTAGATTCGGAAATTGGATGGGCTATTGGATGGGCTACACCCATCTAGATGATTGGGTTCTAATTAATTTGGGCTTGCAGTCCTAATAAGTAGGTTTAGTTTGGGCTATCGTACATATATGTAATTTAGAGGAAATTACCTCCTATGACACACTTAACATTTTTATTACATATTTACTAGTCATGTATAATAATTTACAAATTAAAAACTATTATATTTATTTACAAACATACCAGATGCTTTCTCTCTCTCTTTTCCTATCTATTCTAAACATGGCCAAAACCCGGGCCCGGCCCGAGCCAGCGGGCCGACGGGCTGGGTTGGACTGGCCCTGAACCGGCACGTCCTAGGTCCGTGCCGAGTCCATGGCCCAGCAGGCCCGGCCGGGCCCAACCCGGGTCTGGCCCGTTTTCTTTAAAAAAAAAAAGAAAATTCCAAACCTTTGCTTTTTTTCCGTGCCGGATCCCGCCCAGACCCGGCCTGGCCCGCCGGGTCAGTAGCGAAAAAACAGGACCCTTACACGGCCTGTCTGAAATCCGGGCCGGTCCCAGACCCGTGGTCAACGAGTTTGACCGGGCCGGGTCCGTGCCGGGTCGGCGGGCCGGGCGACCCGGTGGCCATGTCTAATCTATTCTTCTTTTTTCTCTCTCCCTCTCTCTCTATCATCATCTTCTTCTTCTACGTCTTCTACAAATTCGTCGATGTTCTCCTCCCCACCACCGCCTCTTCGCCGCTCCGCCTCCGCCCACCCACCCATCCCGTCGCTGACCGCCCTAATCTCCATCGCGTCGCATTTCCTCTCGCGCTTCAATGACCTCCAGTATAGGCGATTTAGATCTAACCTCCCACATTCGCCACTTCGTCGCCGCTCTATCCCAAAGACTTCCGCCTCCGCCCACACACCCATCCCCGCCGCAGATCGCCTAATCTTCGTCGCGTCTTATTTCCTCTCGCTATTCAACAGCCTACAGCACGGGTGATTCCTCTTCGCGAGATACCCGATTTCCGCCGCCCCATTCGAGCCGCTCCTCCCACTCCTCTCTCTCTCTACCACTCGGTGCCCTACGCTAACTTCGTATATGTTTAGTATATGTACAATATATGTACATTATATGCACATCTTAGGAATATGTACAGTTATTGTACATCTTAGTTTATGTTTGGTATATTAGTTATGTACAGATTAATTATGTTCTTATGTACATCTTAAGTATTGTTTTTAATTGATGTTTGCTTTTTTATGTTTAAAATAAGCATACACTGATTTTTTATTTTTTTTTTTGTATATGTATGGTTTATATACATAGTCCATTCATCATATAATGAGTGAAAATCATCATAGGCGACTTTATCCACAAAAAAACATATACCTTTTATATATTAAAAAAACGATACATATACTATTAATAAAAACTATCAATTCACGTATGTTTCAATGAATGTTAAA